ATTATTGCCAGTTCACAAATTTCATTTATAAATAATAGCAATAAAGAAGCAGACTTACTGTGGAAAATGGTGTCGTTAACTCGATTGAAATATTTTTAAATAATTCAGATATGAAACAACCGAGTCAAAACAAAAGTATGGCTAAAAACGATACTGATGATGATCAAATTTTTTTTTTCGTTTAGTTTTTAGTGGATCTGCAAGGCTAATTCAATAATAAAATATCATAATAATTAAATCTCCATCTCTTTCACCTTGAAGAGAGCAATCAAAGCAAATCCGTCATGCATATTGAAGCTCGAAACAACACTGAATATCGTGCAAAAACTGATCAGTTTGTTGATTTATTCAAAAGAAAATTGAAACAAATCGTTTAATCCTTTATATCTTTGATAATGTAAATGGTTGTGTGAAAGTGGGCCTAGCTTTTCTCTTCACACATACAGGGCTGGGTGCATCAATTTCTTTCTCTTTTGAGAATTACTCTCAATCGGCAAATATCAAACAACATTCAAATAAATGAATCATTTTATTTCAGATATTTTAGTAAGTGTACTAAAAATGAAATTTCTTTGTAGGTTAATATGTGATAAATTCGAGAAACTATAAGAACTAAACTATTACAAAAATGTTAGCTTACGAATGCTCTTTGTAGAAACTGCTGTATTCGTTATGATATTTAGTTGCCGGGTGGAAGCGATTTGATGCCGTGGTCGTTGATGGCAAAAAGCCAGTCTGGCTCAATTTTATTCACGCCATCAAATGGATCTTCTAGATACAATTGTCCTCCATTAGCTAGAGTGACATCGATCCTTTGGATTGGTGAGTTAAATTGGCATCCTCCATTGTCGACAGTCCTAGACGCTACTTTATGTGTTTCACCTTGAGATAAACCGATGCCGTATTGACTCTCAAGACTATTTCCTGGTTCCTGTCCAATTTTGCGGTAGGTTACTTGAATTTGAACACCGCTGTTGCTTTCATTTCGAATGGAGCAGCTTTTGACAAATCTTGGAGGTAAAGCACCACAGCCTCTGGCGGCCATTATCGTTTACTAGTAGAGTTGCTTGTTGGTTAATATAATAGTCGACACACACAAGTCAGTGTTCGATAGGAATGTTGTGATATGAAAAGATGTACGTTACACTAAAAAAAAAAAAGAAAATATTTCGACCGTAATTGCTTGCAAGAGGAAAGCAATGAAAAAGACGAACGTGACTTAACGTACCAATACTTAAGCCAGTTGCTGCTAAAAGAGAGAACGAAAGAAAATGCTCGCAGGGCTTTCATCAGGATAACGCGACAAAATATAAAAACCGAATGATGAAAAAAGAAGTATGGCAAAGGCATAATATGAAAATGTATCTTCTTTTGTGTAAGCCCAATCATCCTGTGTGATTCGAATTATTTACGTGTTTGATCATACAAGAAAATAAGCATTTTAATTATATTTAACACGTATGAATGCATATTACTCAAAACAAAAAAAATAATGATGTGTATTCGATGCATGATAACGCATCCAGACGCTTCAGATAATTATTTTCAGCTGCAATCTGATATACTTCGGTTACAGCATTTTAGATACAGTAAAAATTCATTTAACATCTTGAAATATATAATTGGATATATTATCCAAATGATACTTAACTGGATAGGATTATTTCTAGTATACTACTTCTTAAAACAAAGTTACGATTTTTTTTCTCAAAAAAAAATAAGAATAAATGTAAATAAAAAAAATAAAAAAATAACCAATCTATTCTCGTTTCTGTTCAATAAAAAGTGATACATCGAAATCATGCTATGCACGGTGATGAATTTTTTTAGTAATACAGAATATAAATGTTTACATCGCTTTTGCTACTTTCCCTAATGGTGTTTTGTAACCAAGTGAACTGTGACAGAATGTTTCGTTGCCAAGAAAAAAGAAACAATTTTTTTTTAACATTCCGCATACATCGTTAGGATTTGCTGGAAAAATGCTTTTAGCTTGATCAACTGCGCCATACTTATCTTTGTTTGTTGTTTTTTAACTCTTTTTTAGCTAAGTATCGATAATGATGATATTTCTTCAGGCATGATCAACAAACAAGTACATCGATTCACGTACACGTGTACTCACAAATTTTGCGTCTCTTTTTTATTTCTTTTTTCAATGGGGCTGTTTCTAATATCCGATAGTTAGTTTAAACAGATGATGTCGTTTTATTCTGAGCTCAAATTAGAAAGAATACGATCTGTTAAAAAAAAAACCTCATAAACATTTAGGTAACAAGAAAATCAGAAAAAAGATCTCGGTCTCTTTTCTACATATTTGCACATAAGATAACCTAGAAAGGTGAATGATCGAATATAATCAATAGACAGAACAGAAGAGAAAGAGTTCTTGATAAGTTTCAATAAATTTTCACACTACTCTGAACAGTGATCGTTATTTTACATATGTTAGTGGTAATAAGAGTTCCTTGATTTACTCCTTCTACCAAGAATGAAGTAGAAAGATTGGATTGATAAAGTTGATAGAAACGAAATATTACAACTTGATGCTTTTATACTTTTAGCTTCGACACATGAATGTCAAATGCATACTCATTCTCGCGCTAATTTTTTTATACTATGACAAGTTTATCATTTGATAATTTCAAATGGTGGTTGAACTTCAAATGAATTTTAAAGGTTGTGTGTGTAATGCTTCTGGTTACTTACACCCACACTCATATCAAGACAAACGATGAAATGTATCTTGACGTTCCATCTAAACTAGCAAAGCACTAAATTTTAATTTTGATTTATCAAATCCTAAATCGGAAGTGGGCATAGGACAACTTTTTCTATTCTGTCCTGTTGCCTTCTCCTGGCTGGCATGGACATCATCCTCAGAGCCCAGCTCTAATCGGTTGTATTGGTCAAATCGACAAGAATATACTGCTGTAGAACGGAAGAAAGCAAAGATTTTTAATAATGAACTTGCTCTAAACACTCTGCCAAATGAGAATTTAATACAGTTGAATACCAAGAAAAATATCTCAGTTACAATCTCGAAGTGAAAAGAAAAGGGTTATACATCTAAAGTTAATCATATTTCAAAAAAGGCAAAAACATGAAAATGAGGAAGTTATTCATGATATCAGAGATGGGCAAGTCAGAGATTTTTAAGATTCAAGTCAAGTCAAAAAATGACTATATATTCTCATCTGGCTGCCGCTTATCTAAAGTACATGAAAGAATTTCATTTTCTTTGTTTCTGCTCTCATAGATACTTTTAGTGCAGACAATAATTAGACGCATAAATTGCAAAAATATATCCATTTTTTTTATTTAACAACATACTTGTTTTTGTTTAAACAAAATATGCACTTATATTATATTTTGTCTTTTTTTCTGATCTTGATGTTTAATTATTTTGATTCAGACAAAATGAATAAATTATTGAAATAAGTACAGAATATGAAATTCTTTGTGCTGTGGAAAATCTAATGCAGTTAACACAAGCATAGGATACGTAATGATTTCAGTATTAGTGACTAACTTCCAGTTATAGCAAAAGATATTAAAAATCTTGTCATGCTCAACTTTCCTTTTGTGTATATACGGAGGAAGATAGAGGAGCATGGTTCATTAAATTTGGCAAAATTCTTCATAAATCTGAGCAAATCAATAAATAAACATGGGCAAGTCCAACTTATCATGGAGCCTACGTAAACAAAAAAGATCTCGATTAGTACAAGGTTGGTGACTAATATTGTAAATAAAGTATTCCTGTTAACATCAAAGTCACACCCTAGGAGAAGAATTTGAACAATATTAACTATAGGAACCTTTATAAAGTAACATTTATTTTGATGTAATACTAGTATGACATAACTATTCAAGACGTAGAGCAACACTAAGAAGAATTCATTTACTCTTGATTTATTCTCAAAATGTTCTTGTCCATGGTTTCAGTTTCGATTTATTCAATATAAATGACATTTTTTGTCATGTATTCAATTACCTGATGTAAGTGACAGAAGTAAAATGAATATATTATTTATATTGGGCTGTATTTAATCAAGAAGTGATCACTCTGTACAAAGCCAATATTCGAAATCCTTGAAGTTCTATTCGTGGTATCAGATGAACAATGATGAACGCATTCATTTTCTAAATCATTATTTAACTTCCAATCATCTTTATTAATAGAACTGTTGACGATAATTATGTATTGTAGAAGAGTACATTCACTGAACTCAATAACTTCTTGATTCTGTTTGTAATTTTTATTCATATATATCATTCGAAGTCAATATAATATGATATAAATACATAAAAGAATTTTCTCAATGAATGAAAAAGTTTGTTGTTGCATGATCGTTGATGTTTATTTTCTCGTGGAGAGAGCACGATTATCATTCGTGTTAGGAACTATAGATCTTTGGCGTGATTGTCTACGACGATTGACTCCAGGCAACGGTAACCACTCATTTGATGGTACATAAGATTGACCAATATAAGCTAGAAGTCGAGGCCAATCTTGATAACGAAACCCGAAAGTTCCAGATTGCCCGGTACTATAAGTACTAGGCCAATTCATATAGCCATAGTTTGATAGATATGGATATTGTTGTGGATGATAGCCGAATTCTATGAGAAAGATTATATTCTTATACTAGTACAAAGATTCGATGTAATAGTTATTCGGTACTCACGGTAGTTGTACGGATATGCTTGATTACCTGGCATATACCAATTATTACTTATTGGGTACCAATTAGTTCCTACTCAGAAAAGTACAAAAAAAAAAAGAAAGAAATTAAAATGAGAATTTTTACTGATATATCAAAAAATGAAATTTTAAAAGATTGAAAAGACATTTACAAATGTTCATGTCATCTTTCAAAATTTCAATTTTTGTAGTTCTCTATTTATTTCATACAAAGTTTATTCGTACCTGAGCCAATAAAGCCTTGCCCATAGCCTATATTTGGATAAGGACCTAATCCATATGTTCCGAAATAAGAACCTGGCATTGATGCTTGACGTCGTTTACGGCGTGCTCGACCATCAACCACTGAAGCTCACATGTGTTTGGTCAGAGAGTGAGAAGAAAAGTTCTTGTTATAACTTACCAGCAATTGAAACTACCAGTAAAAATACGATTAGATTGAATAGTAACATAAAGTGTATAGCGTAAAGCGTCTGTATTTGTTTGCACCTGACACGATTGCAGTGTGTACAATTATAAATATAACATTTATAGAACAAATAGTATGCTTGATTTCTGTGAGTTGTTCTGTCTCATGGCACTGTAAAAAACCCGTACAATTTTTTTATTTCTCTCACTCTGCCCATGTAAAATTTTTTACCCAAAAAAGTAACTATTAAGTACTTTTATTATTTTTTCACGAAGTGTAAAAAGTACTTAAAAGTGAACCTTTTTTAGTTACTATAAGTATACTTATAAGTAAAAAGTACTTAAAAGTACCTTAAAAAATATTGAAAAATACTTTTACCGGTACTTTCAAGTAATGTTTACAGTACTTAAAAGTACTTTTGAATCTAGTTTAAAGTAATGTCCAGAGTACTTAAAATTACTTTTGATAGTACTTTTAACTAATTTCCAGAGTACTAAAAAGTACTTTTGATAGTATTTGAAAGTACATATGACACTATCAGTATTAAACTATCTGAAGTACTTTGCAGTAATTGATAAAATACCTCTGAAAAAGGACGCTTCGAAACGATTTAATACCCTCATGTATTACTAAGAGACTAGTACTTTTTCGTTCATAGTGATAGAGTTGGGTATCACTCACATCCATCGACTCATAGTGAAATTAGTTTACGATCTATTTCATCTGGTGTAAATGTGTGAAAGTCGCTTTTGTTACCATCCCTTACTATTCAAAATTCTATAATACTATAAGAGAAATATATGAATCTTTTGTAGTTATTCACTGTCATTGATTTTCAGTCTTTACTATTTGATTTTCACTGTACTGCATCCTATTACTATCTATTTTTTTACCATTAAAGTAAAACACAATATTTTGTTATTTCCTTAGCTTTGAGTAGACTCAGATAGTCTTGTCATACAAGCTTGTATCATTGAAAACATGATAGTCATCACAATTAATAAAGCTCTAATGATGTTAGTTTATTTTGTATCGATTTCGCTCCTCACAATATGCGTGATACTTGGTAACAACAAACATTAAATACATTATGCACTGTGTTTTCTTATCCAAAAGAAAACGATTATGAACACCTCGAACGACGAAACTGATACAAAATAAACTAACATCATTAGAGTTTTATTAATTGTGATAACTATCATGTTTTCAATGATACAAGCTTGTATGACAAGACTATCTGAGTCTACTCAAAGCTAAGGAAATAACAAAATATTGTGTTTTACTTTAATGGTAAAAAAATAGATAGTAATAGGATGCAGTACAGTGAAAATCAAATAGTAAAGACTGAAAATCAATGACAGTGAATAACTACAAAAGATTCATATATTTCTCTTATAGTATTATAGAATTTTGAATAGTAAGGGATGGTAACAAAAGCGACTTTCACACATTTACACCAGATGAAATAGATCGTAAACTAAGTTCACTATGAGTCGATGGATGTGAGTGATACCCAACTCTATCACTATGAACGAAAAAGTAATAGTCTCTTAGTAATACATGAGGGTATTAAATCGTTTCGAAGCGTCTTTTTTCAGAGATACTCTACCGACTTCTACAAACGATTGCTCGTCAATCGATGTGATGTACTTCACGGTTTTGTGAAAGACTGTCAGTTGTTCAAAGGAACAGAAATCAGGTTTTTATCATCTGAGAACAAGTAGTAAAGCGTCTGCCCAAGCAAGATTTATTTCGGTTCTACAGCTATTTGAGTTCATCTTTCAAATAAGTATCTCTGAGTTTTTGTTTCCTATCACTTTTCACAGCGTGCGAAAGCTGAAAAGTTTTAGGGTAAGGTAAAAAATTCTATGTGTTACGATACTTTATACATTTGTTTCGGACTTTTTTTATCCTTTATAGTTAGAATATAAAGCTACACAGTATTTACTATAAGTATACAACTTTTCAAGCTATTCTTTGGTGTAGTTTATGCCTATTAAGCATTAGGACAGTAACCCCGAAGTATCAGTTCTTTATCGGATTTGTGTACGAAACAAGATGTTTGATCGCTTGACGACCAAAGACCAAGCACGAACTTCGTCTACAGAACATTTCAGGATTATTCTATGTTTTGAGAGGTGTACTTTTGTGCTTGAATCACTTTTATAAGAAGTATTCTACTTTTTTAAATTATAGGAAATCATAAAAAATCAAGTATCTCAAACTTCTACATATAATAAGAAGGAAGAAAAAGGATCTCATTATAATAGTAGATGAAAACTTAGGAGGAAAAAAATATGATATTTTTTCTATGAAAATTATCGTCCTTATATTTTCATACATTTGTCGAAATAAAGTGGTGATTCTCTAGTGGACACAATACTTTCTAAAGTACTAAATAGTACTTTTGCACCTTTACCTGTAATTAATCAATTATTTTAATTAGTGTCTTATTATTACTCGAAATATATTAATAGGAATGAAGGGAAAAGATCTCACTATAGTAGTAGATGAAAACTTAGGAGGAAAAAAATATGACATTTTTCTATGAAAATTATCGTCCTTATATAGTCATACATCTGGCGAAATAAAGCGGTGATTCTCTAGTGGACACAATACTTTCTAAAGTACTAAATAGTACTTTTCTACCTTTACCTGATATTAATCAATTATTTTAATTAGTCTTTTATTATTACTCGAAATATATTAATAAGAATCCGGTATGAAAAAAGTATCCGAAAACGGCTTGAAGTATTTTCATATTGTTAAAGTAAAAAGTAACTTTTGCTCTGCATTTTTTCCTGTTCGTAGTACGTACTCAGATTTTATCAACTTCAAGAAGTACTTAGTAACAATTTTACAAAAACCAAAATACTTTCAATTAGTGCTCCTGCTTTAAGAAGTAGCTTAGTTCAGTTTGCGTACTAGCGAAAACACTTTTCCATACTTTTTCAGTATGCAAACTATTTAGTAGCAGTTTTATTATGCTAGAGGTGTCAATAGGGATGCAACGGTGACGGTGGCCACCGATATGATCGGTCAACGGTTCACCAGTATACGGGCACCGGTCATAATGTACTATAAATAAAAATACTCAGGTTCCACTGATTCATAATAAAAGTGAAGCTAATGATCTTATGATCGAGAAGCGCACGTTTAAATAGTATCCATCTACTTTCAGTGACTTATAATCATATTTTACATATTTAATAAGGTGTTTCTATATACTGACCACTCCATGAATACGTTACTGACAGTAGGTATATGGCAGACAATATCAGGATGCTCATGTAACTAGAATTTGCTAGAGCGGATCTATCGGAATATGAAATATGCTAATACAAAAAACTTTGGTATGTTGTATTAGCAAACATTTTTAACGTCAGCAATGCCTGTTAGAGTGTCAAATACCTACGGTGATTACCGGTTTATTACATTCTACCGACTAATAGAAGTTCTGGGTAACCAGTAGTGCGCTTTTAATAGTCATTGTCGTGAGTTTTCTTGATTCTTTAAGTCTCAGAATCGGCATGATCATCATATTCATCCAAGAAGAAAATTTTCATATTCTAGTGAACAGATCTAAATTATACATTTTAAAGCATCACTATGTAGTCTAATAATGGTGGTTAAGAGGATGGAGACCTACGATGATAGGTGGTTTGCAGCAGGTTACAGATTCATTGAGGTTCAGAGTAACTAGCAGTGCCTATTTAGGTTTTATCGCCATAGTTTTTCGTGATCCTATGGCTCCTATTTTTAACTTTAAAGTCATATGCTGGGGAAAAGATTTGTCATTATCACTCTTGTCGTGCACTCGGCTATACAGTTTTAATGAGGAATATGAAAGCTAACAATAGTATTTAGAGCGTAGGAACCTACCACTATAGCCGGTTCATAGAATTTTGCGGACTATTTGATGCTCAAGATGACCGGTGATACCCGTCTAGCAGCCATTACTGTAGATTTTCCGCTTTTACACCGGTAAAGTCGTTAATCTCCTAATTATGTTCATGGGCTATAGTGTTTCATATACGATCATACTCTCAAATTAAGAATATGGTTTTAATCTTGAAGACTAAGGCAAATATAAGAAGGTAAAATATTATAAACATACTGAGATGGTCGAGTTTGACCATTATTCAGACACTTGCATGCTTGCATCAATCACTGATGCTGATACATCGGAAACTAGCATCAATTTTTATAGTTCCACTAACCCTTTTATTAGTCAAATCAAGATACTCAAGTATGAAAAAATCCTTGATGTGTCACAGCGCCGTTTAGTAAACAGTACAGCTTCGCCTGTCGTCATCATTATTGTTGATGCAACAATGACGATAACCACAGGTATGACTATGGTTTCACTGTCTTAACCATGGCTAGGTTACTGGTGTAACTAAGAAAACTGTACCTCTGGTTCTTGGACCAATTGCAACAACCATAAGTACAGTTATCAATTCTACGCCACCTCTTTATAACCTAGTAGTTTCTGAAGTACTAACGTTTCCTATACCTGCTGACGAAAGATGATCAAAGTCGGAAAATCAGGAACTAAGGTAAAACTTCGAGAATGTTCAACTTGAGTTTTTACGCTTCGGGAAGGATTATTAAGAACATACTGATATTTAATATAGAATGGCAAAAATAAATTGGTTTTCAGGGACCCAAATCTGATATCAATTTGTCGTAGTTCTGCACTTTAATTATTAATGAAAAAATTTCTTGCTGAATGTTATAATTTTCCTAAGTACTAGAGTTGAGTGTCTCAAGTTACACTTCATTTCGTCAGTTTTTCAAGGACATAGTTATTTTCATAACGAGCATTCCCTTAATCTAAGAACTTCACTTCAAAATATTCAACCTAACTTCGAATTTTAATTGTCCAGTCTGGG